GGCGGCGGCACCTCGGCCTCCCCGTGCGGCGCCCCGACCGCCGCGGCCACCGCCGCGCGGCCTTCCTCTGGCTCGGCCGCTGGGTGGCATAGAGCCGCCAATAAGCGCGCTCGATGCCGAGGATCTGACCTATGGCGCTTGGATTCGAGACCTTGGCTGTTGGCTGATGGCTCGTGTGCTTGATGTGGACCAAGAACAAGAATGTGGTGGGCGTTTTGACCTCTAGTCTTTTTTGTGCTAAAATGCGCCTGCGAAGAAGAAAAAAATGGATGCGATCCGATATGCGACAAACTACCCCACCAGTCGAGCTACCGAGCTCAGTCAGTCAATTTGATGATACAAATCCTCCCGCTGTGACGCGACGCGCCGACTGCTAAAGGTTTTTTTTTCTCTGGGGTTGTTCCAGTGGTGTCGTTCCCCTCCAAAGTTAAGTCAGCAGGGATCTGTGGGGTCTAGGCCCACTAGAAACTAGAACTCCCAACGACGATGTCAGCCGCTTCGATTCGACAACCAACATCAACAGTAGGTCGGCGTTACCAATATTACCAATATTAGCAGTATGCACCTATCAAATGACATCTTGGTACCCACAGACATGAATCGACAACCGCAGCCCTGCTCAGCCACGAGAGTGACCTTTACTGCGCATTCGCTCGTGACCAAGGTGCATGGATATTCCTACTCATACACTACATGATGCCGGTCTCCGCGGGTCGTTGCGTCCAGCCTTTTTTGTCTCATGCGTTTAAGCCCCTGTTCTGTCCAACTCTCCCCCCTTTTTTTCCTGCCAGCTACACCGAGAGAACAAGTTGGCCAGGGCAAACACGGCAGACCATCCTGCCGAGCCTAATCCTACACAGCACAAGCCTCGTAACACCCGAACCTACGAGCAAGCCCACGCAACGCACATGCGCCCGCCGAGATAATAATGCAAGTCACCGCCGCCGCCGCCGCCGCCATGACGCAGCCGCCGCCGCCGCCCACCTTCCCCATCTCCACCTCGGCCCCCGGCGAGGGCGCCATCGTGGCGAGGACGCTGCCCAACGGCGCCACGGGCCTGGAGAAGATGACGTACCAGTACCCGCTCAAGCTCATCTCGCCGCCGCGGCCGGCCGAGCGGCCCAGCGCCCTCGTCTTCCTGCTCTCGTACGGCGGCGGCCTGGTGGCCGGCGACCGCGTCAACCTCAGCGTCGACGTCGGGCCCGGCGCCCGCCTCAGCCTGGTGACGCAGGGCCACACAAAGGTCTTCAAGGCCCCGCCCCTCCCCTCGGCCCCGGGCGTCGAGACGACGCGCCAGCGAATGCGCGCCCGCGTCGCCGGCGCCGGCGCGGGGCTCTGCCTGCTCCCGGACCCCGTCCAGCCCTTCGCCGACAGCATCTACGAGCAGGAGCAGGCCTTCTGCCTCGCCCCCGGCGCGTCCCTGTGCCTGCTGGACTGGGTCACCCAGGGCCGCGCCGCCCGCGGCGAGGACTGGGATTTTGCCCGCTGGGTCGGCCGGAACGAGGTCTGGGCCGTCACCGAGGCCGCCGCCGCCGCCGCCGCCGAGCCCTTTGCCCCCTTCTCGTCCGGTATCGGCGACGGCGACGACGACAACCAAGACAGGAGGCTACTGGTGAGGGACGCCATCGTCCTGGACCGCCAGGGCGCCGCCGCCTACGCGGGGACGCTGAGCGACACGATGCACGGCCACGGCGTCTTCGGCTCCCTCGTGCTCCGGGGCCCGCTGACGCGGTCGCTCGGCGAGTTCTTCATGGCCGAGTTCGCCGCGCTGCCGCGGATCGGGGCGCGGGACTTTGGGGGAGGAGGAGGCGATGGGGACGGGGACGGGGACGGGGACGGGGACGACGACCCGCTCGCGGCCTGGCGCGCCGAGAGGCTGGCCCTGGAGCGGCAGCACAGTGTCCTCTGGACGGCGGCGGCCGTGCGGGGCTGCGTCGTGGTCAAGTTCGGCGCGGCCGAGGTCGAGGGCGGCCGGCTCTGGGTCGGCGCCATGCTCGCGCGCGAGGGGAGCGTGGAGCGCAACTTTGGCAAGGACTCGATGATGTGCGTCCGCTAGGAGGGGAGGGACTGGGGGGGCGGCCATGACGCAACTAGGAGGACGAAGGGGGGTACAGGCAACAAAAAAAGGGGGGGTATGAGGTGTTCAGGATGCTCGGTCTTTCTCCCGGCAGGCATGCAGGCAGGCAGTACTTTTGGCACGTCAGAGAAAACAGCGCGTGACGACACCCTCCCCGTACCGGCCGAACGACTTGCAGCCACGGTATCGAGTGAAACGCAAGCGAACGCCGCAGGGCGGCCGCACAGTCCTCTTGGGCATCGCCCACTCGACGCCAACATCCTCCTCGGAGGTGCTTGCAACATGCGATTCTGGCGATATGAGATTTCCGGCGGAGGGCGGAGGAATGCGAGACGCGAGAGGGAAAAAAAAAAGGGAAGGGAGGCGCCGGAAGGTCAGCAGCCAGCCCCTCCTGCATGTCGCTTGTCACGGTCGCAGCTGCATGGCGTAAGCTTCCTTGTGGTAATATATCATATTATACACACATGCGCGCGCGCGAGCGCAGGTGCTCGAGACAGACGAGACTTGCATCAGACCCGGTTTCAGCAGCCCGTCTGCGTTGGTTCTCCCCTTTGTTGTAGTTGCGCGCGCGCGCTCAGTCCTCCGGCCCGGGCCGTGACGGTCGATCAGGGCGAGAAATTGGACGGCGCCGAGTTCGGGCCGGCCATGGTTGAGGCTTTTCACCTTCACGGCGCCAGAAACAGTCGCCTGCTTCCTCATGCTTGCAGCATTCCTGCGTGGCGTGGGCGCCAGGGTGATGTTGGCGTCATCACCCGTTGAGATGGGGAAATAAGGAAATAGATACACCCATAACGTTAGGGCATGGCAGGTTACCCACCTCCCCTGTGCTTTGGGCTCGCCGCATGAGTGTTGCTCGTGCCCTTGTCGCCTTACCGGGCGGTGGCTGGTTCATGTGTTGACATCTCCTGCAGGAGGTACGGCTTGCATGGGCATACCTCAAGGTCACTTCCTCTCTTATCTCACTCAACCCCAGGGGTCTTGGCTTGGGCCGGGATGCATGGTGCATATCGTCTCCTCCAACCTTGACTGCCTTGCAGTGCCCATGCATGTCCCCAGGACCACGCAGCGAATCATATACATCATTTACGTGTAGGGTAGGCATCTTACTCGGGCCCGTCGCGAGGGGGACCGGACGCGCGGGAGGAAGGTTTGAACGGACAGGTGTGGCCTCACGAGCGCGGACGAGAGAGACATGGAACAAGAGTGTTCCGCTCTGACGACGACGGCGACGACGAGGCTGAGCCCGTGAGGGAGGGGGGGAGAGAGCAGCCAGCGCAAAGCACGTGCGCGACGGGGCGCAGTCCCCTTCCATACCTACGTAGCAGCCACGCCAGCCCAGCCTAGCCCAACGCAGCCGTGCAGCAGAGACCGAGTGCAAACAGCGAGCGCAGCCCCGCTGAACGGCGCGTCACACGCGCGCCAGGCTAATCGGGGGCGGACGTTGCACGCACCTATGTGAAAGTGGTAGCAACAGCAGCAGCAGTATGCTGGGGAGGGGGAACACGATGGATGTGGTAAGGGGAGGGATCTGGGAGAGAGGTGGTTGGTTCGTTGGCTCTGATTGGCCTGGTCGCGAGGGGGGCCGTGCAACTTTTTTTTTCCCCCATCCTCAGCCCAGCTCTTCCCAATGCGCTCACCTTGGTGCGATTACGGCAGGCCATTCATTGGCTGTGGCCTCGTGAGTCCACGAGGCTTACCGGGGGCGCGACGTTCCGTGTCTCCTCGGGAGGGAGGGAGGGAGAGAAACACCACGCGCGCACGTACATGGTGGTCTAGAAGGAGGAGGGAATGGAGAAAGAAGGAGAGGAAGAAGAAGCTACGCAGAACAATACATCTTTCCGGTGTTACCTCGGCCGCCTCCCTCTCCTCTTTCAGAGTGACACCGAGCGCGCACTCTCTCTCTCGCACGCTCGCACACAAACGCCTCCTTTCCTCCCCTTCTCCTCCCCTTCCCCTCCCCTCTCTTCTCTGCCTCCTCTTTTCTCCCCAAGCCACCATCGCACAGGAGGGGGCACGAGGCTTTTGGCAGATGGCCACCACTGACCTGTGCAAGGCCTGCTCGAGGAAAGGAGCATGAGAGGGATGAGTGTGCGTGGGTGGACGTGGTGTGACATCGAGATCATGTATGGGCGGGGGAAATAAAAAAGCAAGAGTGAGCGAGAGAGACGAGAAGTGCGCGAGCGTGCCTTGCTCCACACGCGCAATATGTGACACGTTATTAATAGCCCTCTGCCCATTATCAGGAAACCCATCCATGTCGGCCGCTCAGGGCGGCCGCCAAGCAGGCACCAGGTCGCGGCGTTGGGAGCAATGTCCAAGGGAAAAGGAGAGGAGAGGCCACCAAAGATGCCCTGTCTTCCCCAGGAGTTGGCGGTTTCGTCGTTCTCGACTTTCTCACCTTGCCTTGACCTTGACGGACGATAATCGCCGGGAACACAAGCACACAAATGCGCAAACACCAACCCACATCGGGTAGGGGGAGGAACGAGTTGCCCAAAGCGGAACATGCACCGTAAAGACGCACCGCACCCCTCTCACATTGCAGTCTGGAGGGGACGGGATGTGAATCCCTCGAGGGGTGGGTGGCCCAACACCGAATCCATCTCTGGCCCGGCTGTTCGAACCGAGTGAGGAAAGGCGCATTCTGTCAACCGAGAAAGCTTACAGCCACCAAAAGCATCACTTGGCGTGACTTGGTGGTGGCGGCGGTTGCTCGCTCTCGCTGGCGGGTCTCCCATCCTGGCCAGGTCGCATCCACTTTTTCTTCTTTCCAACCGTGCCCTTTTTTTTCTTTTTTCTTCTTTCTTTCGCACCTTATCAATCAGGTCCTGTTCCCTCAAAGCCCCATGTTGCGCAATCCCTGGTAGCTTCACGGGCTCGAGATTTTCAGGCCTCAGGGTCCCAAGATATCGGGCATCATGATCTGCCGGGCTGCACCCACACAAACCGGATGGGAAACAACGAGGCCTTTTTTTTTTTCTCCACCACAAGGGGGTGGAATGACCCATGTCCATGTTCGCGACCCCGCCAGGAGAGGAGAGTAGAAAAAAAAATCTTCAGTGGATGGAGATGGAAATACGCGGATGGATAGTGCCGGAAAAAAAGAAGACCAAACAACAAAAGGGGGTGAAAGAAAGGGAAAAAAGCTCAACCGCGCCGCGCGCGTCGCATGAGTCGATGCGATGCCCCCCCGACCGAACCGCCATTCTGGGATGGGCGGCGACCCGCAAAAATGCCCTGTCGGTGGGGGTGCAAACTCATCACGTGTGGGTCGGTATCCTGCTGGGGCGAAGTGGGAAAAAATCCTCCCCCCGAGCTTGGCGGCGCCGGAAACCCGTCAATGTCTGGGCAGAAGCCCACAGCACCAGAGTCAGGGGTTGGAAAAGAGGAGAAAGCGAAGGGGGAGAAGAAAAAACCTGTCGGACGCGGCTCTGCGGTTGGAAGTCTGGTTAGGTGGCCAAGTGGCTGGTCCCCCTCCCTCCCTTCACCATGCGCCGGGTTCGTGGAGTGCGTGGCAATAATAGTGGCGTGTGCTGCACGCGCAGACCACGCCCCTTGGCGTATGAGGGTTATTATTTATTTATTTTTCAATCATCTACGTCGATTCCTTCTGTAGTACTACTGCGTCACCACGGCACTAACCTGCCTTCTCCTCCTCTCCGTCGGTGTGGACCGAGCCCATCGCGCCCGGCTAACATGAAGCCCTACTATTGAACAAAATCCAAAGTGCATATTGCCAGGCGTGGTAGCGACAACCCAACGGCTCTGTTCGTCTCATGGAAGTTGGTTGATACAGCGACGGGTACCTGTTTGTTTTGGTCCACCCCCGAGGATTCCAACCTAGAGCGTCCCGGCTACTTGGATCACTAAAAGCCAGCCCCGCGTCCATGGAAATTCGGCAAAAGCCTCCCTTCACCGGCAGCGTCCAATCATCGACCGTATCTCACCTCCCACCGTCCAGCTGTAGCCCGGGATGTGGCTCGACAGCGAGAAGAGCATGGAACCGGACGCATAAAGGTGCATTTTATTTATTGACTTGTGCAACCAATCTCCCGCTGGTGGATTGTTAGAGGCAGCCAAGGAAGAGTTGGTAATAGAGCATGCGCAGATGCAGGCCAAGGCATTAGGCGAGCGAACAGATGTGCGCCCGAGGTCTCACCTCGGTGAGTGTCGAATCAAGTGCATTCTGCCAGTCTCAAGCGTCTGGCGCATAACAAACTGGTCCCTGCTCCATGCACCGAGGCCGGCAAGCGAAGGGGGGCGCTGATGCAGGATGCCAAGGAACAGCCAGGTCGGTATGCTCACCGGTCTCGCCCGCCTTTTTCGGGCAGTTCCACCCCCTCCAATTTTTTTTTTTTTTTGGTAGGGGGGTCGGTCAAGGCAGAGATTGAAGTGGAGCAGGCAACTCGGTCGGGTCGGTGAACGGCTGGCACCTCGGGTCGGCTAAAACAAGCCAGGCCCACAGTGACTGCATCCGATTCAGGGTGCCTGGCCTGCAGCTGAAGTGCAGCTGGACCAGGCTTGCAAAATTGGCGGGAGAGTGGGCGGACAGCAGCCATGGCTGCAAAACGCAGCCGAGCACATGTCAGATACATACCAGATACGCCCATGCATCGAACAAACAACACGGCCGGCGCGGAGAATCGGCGCAGCGACCCAGCTTCCATACAGAGAGGGAGAGTCGTGGGGATCATCGTCTGCGTCCTCACGGATTACGGCCTAGCGGTAATGCCGCCGGCGATCGGGCATGCAAACATCCAGCAGGCGGGCGGGGGAGGGAGTCGGATGACCCTTTTTGGCCTCCCGTCCACTCTTCTTCTTGGTCGTCCCCATTTCCGCTCCCTTCTTCCCGTCCGTAAAATTTGCTTCGCTCTGCCGCCCGCCGAGCCCTGGCCCTCGGGACGAAAATACCCCGCCATTGTCGAGCCTTCGTGTACGTAACGTAGCAGCCAATTTCACAGCCTGTGGGCGACAAAAGGACGCTGGCGGTTGCTAGCAGGGAAATGTGATCCTGGGAGGAAGCCGGCAGCGGGAGCTGGCGCCAATCCATATCGAGAAGGCCGGGCTGTCGGGCTACTGTGTAGCGCGTTCGTCTGAAGTCCTAGTCTAGGAAAAGGTGAGCCTGCGCAAACCCAGTCCGCAAGGATGCAAACTACCCAACACGAGACACACCAGAAGGGCGAAAGACGGCAATCTGCTGGCGGGAGGGGGGTGTTTGCATGGCAAGCAAGTCCCTGGGAGTGTTTGTTTTCAAGCACGGTGCGTTCCTTCGTTGTGTGTGCCTGTGTGCCTGTATGTGCACGCGAGCTCTCAAGTGCCCGTTCGAACCAGCCAGGTGCCCGGCGGATTGGTTTCCCATTCTGGTCCGTCGTCAGCGTAAGGCTTCTGGACCAACAATCTGGTGTCCGTGGTTAGCTGGCGCATCACGACGAGTTTTTGCGTCGGCACGCCTGCACGGATTCTTTTTTTCCTTTACGACTCCAGGGAGGGGTCGTTTTGGTGGAGAAGTCGAGGGCCAACTCGGCCGCAGTGGGCGTGCCTCTCTCTCCGGTTGGCCACTCAGGTGGACGGAGTGATCTCCGCCGCCGCTTGTTTCGAAATCATGGCATGGGGGTGCCGAAGCCTTCAAATCCACGCGATCCTGGATGGAAAAGAATTCTTGTTTGGGCAAGAGATCAGCCTCGACCCAAGACGCTGTCGGGCTTTGCATTGGTTTCCAGGTGGGGCGATTGATTAGGGACGACAGTTGAGACTGCCGTCCATGCTGTCCATCTTCGTCACGTCGAGGAAGGCGCTGTGGACGGCTGCCTCACTGGCCTCTTTTTCCTCTTCTGCTTCTTTCGCTTTTCAAGGCTCCCTCCCACAAGGGCTGGTTCTATGATTTTTGTGCTACTGAATGGAAACAAACACACGCACATCTGCTGGTGGAGGTCTCCCGTGCCTACCTTTGGCACGGTTGGTACTTTCGTAGCGGATATGCGTCGGTTTCACAGACCGATCAAACGATAACTGCCCACAGCTCCCGCCGGTGCTGGCGCATAGGTACATCCGTTGGTTGGGGTACATAGGTGCACATTGCGCATCCTGGGGAAACGCTGTGACTGCGGGGGATCACTCGGCAGAGATCATGCGCATATAATGTGCCAAACCTACATTGCCTAAACATGGCGAACCCATTGGGCAACTCGTGAGGTTTGTGAGCGTGATGCACCTGGATTCGGCCTAACCCGCCACTGCCCGCGCACATTGGGCCTCACTCGTTTTCGCATGGGTGTACCGGCATGGGGCGGGCGGGAGTTGGAGATTGAAGATCTTGGGGGCAGGGATGGGAACTGCCATCCCAGCCTCTGCAGCACAGTCGAATCCGACCGCCCTAGGTACCGACGGGAGGACATACCTAGGTGTCTGCCTAGGGACAGAGGCAGGGCCCTAGGTACACGGTACTGTCCCCGCCAGGCAAGTGCAAAGTCACAGCAAGTTGCGACTCTGCATGGGGAGCTGGCGCAGCACGAGCCCGATGGTTGGTTCGCCCCGGTTTGGGTTGGGAACACCACCTGGCCTGGCCGCCCATCCACCCACCTTGCCGCAGCTCCCAACGGTCCAAACAAACGTCCCGCGCGCCCATATGGGGCGGAAGCAAAGGTAACCTCGGGATAAAAACCAATACAGGTGTCGAATCACACAGGATCAAGCTCTTGCACCGCGTGGTAGGCTGAGACAGCCCCGCCCGGCTTGCAGGACGCCTGCTGTGTGCCAAGCCTGCGTGCTTTGCCTTATCAATCGAGTCTCGGCCGTTTGTGCTGCAGCCGCCCTTTTGCTTGGGCTGCTCTGCGTCGCCCCAACGTGCTGTGGGGTTGCGGAATGGAAGTAGAGAACGATAAGGGTGAGGAGGGTATGTGACGAGAGGATACAACCAAAAAAAAAAACACATAAAAAAAGGATACAAGAAGAGCGAGGCACAAGGCGGGGAAGACACAACGAGCCGTTCTGGAAGGGAGAGCTCTCATGTGCTGCAGCAGGTATTTTGGAGCCAAAGATGGGCGGTGGATGGCGGCCCACCTCGTCCGCACCAGTTGGAGTTTTTTTTCTTCTTTCTTTTTTTTCTTACCTTCTCTCCGGGCGCGAGAGATCACCTGGAGCACGGACCAGGTTGGAGGTCATCGAGCTAAACAAGCTGCCCGCTTTTGCAAGCTTCCCCACCCTTTGCTGCCATTGGCTGCTGGGGCTCCCTAGCTTCTCGCGCCTCGCACACCCTTGACAGTGCTTATGAAACCAGCGCCCTCAATCCCTGGATGGGGGACCGTCGACGGTCCGGGCGGGCCTTGTCCCCAGCCTGACCCTTTGCACCTCGTTTGCCCACCACGGCCAAGCCTTCAGCAAATGGCCACACACCCACACACACACCCACAGTCGCACCCACACCCACCTCAGCGCGCGTGCAGCCACACAGACAGACGACAGACGCAGCAGAGACACCACTCTGTCGCCGCAGGTACTTGGTCCAGCTGTATCCGTACCTGGACACGCCCGCCTGCAGAGCTCTTGGACAGTGCGTCGAACAAGGCTATCCAGGTCGCTGTTCCCGGTCCTAGGTAACTCGACCCTGGACTGCCCCATGTGGCTGGGTCCATCTGGTGACCCAGACCCGAAAGGGGAGGAGTCGAGGAGAAAAAAAAAAAATTGAGAGCAAGGCCCAGGGTCATGCCGACTGACCGCCCGCTCTAGCCGATGAAATCCACACGTTCCTTTCAATCGAGTCGCGCAACCGGGGGCCACTAACTCCCCAGTTTTTATTATTATTTTCTCTCAAATTTTTTTCTCATCCCCTCCTCTCAAGACACGCCGCCGTCGCTGCTGCTCCTGCCGCCTCTGGTGACGAGATTCAAACTCGCGCAAGCCTCACCCCTCCCCCCTGGCAGTCGACGAGTCGCGCCGCCCACGGCGCTTTTGCCATCCCAAGGGTTTTTTCTCGGTTCTTTCTTTTTCTTTACGTCAGTTCCCAGGGGTAGTGCAAGCAGGCAAAAGCCGGCTTGTAGGCCTGTCAGTCACACACGGCCACCCGCTACCTAGCCAGCCAGAGCCCGGGTCCTGGTTCCCCCATCCCAGCGCGCGCGCCCGTGACGGTCTGGCATCCAGCAGCACCTTTCGCCCCAGCAGCACCTTTCGCCCCAGCCGCTTGCTTGCTGCTGATCCTTCTCGAACTTTGATCTCGAGCGCTCCCGGTGCGACGGTACCTTGGATCGAAACCTCGGACCTCCAAAAAGACGCACGCCGTTTCTGTCCCGACGAATCGCGACCCACGTTCCTGGCTCATCCATCAGCCCCTGCCGAGCGCAAGAAAAAAAAAAAAAAGGTCACCCCGACGAATACGTACCACAGACCACAGACGGCACCTACTCCTCTGGCTGCCCTGCCCACCCGTGGAGCCCGACCATCTCGCCGCCGGACAGCTTCCATCTCCCCCAACGGCCAATAGGGCACGTCTTTGCATCGAGAACTTTCCTCCTTCCCCCTTCGTCGCGCGAGCCCCTTCGGACGAGCTTTACCTATCCGGACACGCACACCCCCCCTGTCCCCCATTCCCCCCCTGTACTTGTTAATCATTTTATCTTTTTTTTTTCCTGCTCCTTCTCGCGGTGTGTACACTCCCGAGGTATTTGCGGGTATATGTTCGAAATCTGGTGGCCCAGTCCTTGTCCACCATCGAGCCGGCTGCCCGGCCTTGCCTGCTGACGAATTTCGTCGGAGCTCTCATGGCCACCGCACGCGCACCTTCTGTCTGACGTCTGTTGTCTCGCTGGAGAAGCCTCTGCCGTGCCTCGACCGTGTTTATGCGCACGCCTCCAGAGCGGCCTGCTGCTCACGGTCAGAAGCATGGACCAAGGGCCAGAGAACAAGCGACCACGGCTGTCCAACAACCCGCCATCTTGGTCGAATTCACATCATGGCGTCTCGCTGCCCCATCCTGCTCCAAGAGAATATCAGCCACCTCCACACCACTTCTCGCGCGACCTCCCTCCTCACCCGCCTCCTCATCAACCCCCTCCACTGAACACCAATCAGCACTTTGACGACCGACGTCGCCATGAGCAGGACCACTATCCCCAACGACAGGATCACCGCCAACCGCCTCCATCGCCCGCGCATCCTCCACACTACACCCAGGCATACTCACCTCGCGAGCCGACCAGCGGCGTGAAGAGGGATTTCGACGAGCTCCCTCAGCTGCGCAGACCACACTCGACCGGCGCACCCGATCCTAACGTGCCGGGCACTCCCCTAGGCCATCCTGCGCAGCCTCCACCGCACTCTCAACATCCACCACCACACCCGCAACAACACCCTCCTCACTCTTCGCAGCAGTCACCCATGGAGGACAGGAGGCATATGAGCTTCGACGGCGGCCCGTCGCCGCAGATGTACCACCACAGGCCACCAAGCTATCCGCCGCAGACTCCGCACCCGCACCCGCAACCGCCGCCACTCCCGCAGCAGCAGCAGCAGCCGCAACAACAACAACAACAACAACAACAACAACAGCAACAGCCGCCGCCGCCACAGCCTCAGTCTCAGTCTCAGCCACCACCACAAACGCCCTATGAGCCGTCACCGCAGATGTATAGCTCCGGGCCACCTAGCGCAGGCCCGGAAGGGCTGTACATGGCTACATATTCGTCATCAGCAGCAGCCAAGCGGAAAGCTCAGCGTGCTTCTCAAGTAGGTGTTGGACGGCATACAGCGCGCCGTCGTAAAAGCTCATGCGCTGTAAAATACATGCTGACGCTTTTCAACCACAGGCTTGTGAGAACTGCAGGCAGCTCAAGGCGAAGTGCGACGAGACCAAGCCTTGCAAAAACTGCAGGGAAAAGAAGACGGAATGCAAATACCGCGATCCTATCCCTAAACAGTAAGATTTGCCATGGGACGCGCAAATAGGTATTCCGACGGATCTTGCAATGCTGACACGCTTCGAACGCGACAGGTCAGATAAGGTCCAGGTCGAGGTCCTGGAGGGCATCAATAACTTGAAAGACAGTTTGGAATTGATGGTCCGGACTTTCGAAGCAAGATTCGAAAGGCTCGAAGCGACGCTGAAGTTTGACCACCGGCCAGACGACATCAAGAAGGAGCCGGTGGAGATGGACGAGTCGGCATCACAATCACTGGCCACCGAGCCGCTCAACCCCGACATCCCGATTCCTTCGGTCCAGGACGACGACGGCCAAGATGAGACCATGGCCGAGGCACCGCCTGCCGACGAGGTAGAAAAGGATGCGGATTCGGACAGCGAGGAACAGCTAGACATGCCCCCTCGCTCTCCCCGCTCACCCGTGCCGCCCGGAAAGCCTGCGATTCCAAGCAAGCACACCACGGGCGCAGGACTGCTCCTGAAATGGCCGGCGGTTGCTCACATGATGGGAGATCTTTTGGAAAGGGAGGAAGGCATCAACACGAAGCATTTACACGAATTTCCACTAAAAAACGAGGAGGAGAGGGGCCTGCTGCACATCTACGGCTGCGGAGAAGGTCGGGGTGAGGGCCGCAGGAAAGCCAACAGGGACTCGGGTCTTCACAGTAGAGACTCGATGATAGACATTGGGAGCATCCCCGCCGGACCGGAATCGCCAGACACGGGTCCTTCGCCCTCTCCGAGCAACGACTGGGGGCACATCGGTGGGTTTATCGGGGACACTCCCCAGGCCGTCACCTCGGTGGACGGAAAACCGACGCGGGGTACCACCGGGGAGCTGGATCTCGATCCCGCAACTGTTCGGAGGCTGGTGCAGAGCTACGAGGACAACATCCAGAACATGCACCCAATCATCCTCAAGAATGACCTGCACGGCATAGTCAACAAGTTCCTCCTTGGCCTGGGCTCTGCCGTCCTGACGAAGCCGACCAACAAGGTTGCGGGTGTTGCCATGTTCGCCAACACTGGCATTCCCGTCGACGAGATCGGTCAGAAGCGGAAGAGGGGCGGCTCGTCCGATGGCGGCCCCGAGCCCGGCTCGCCCCCTCTGAAGGTGCAGCGCATGTCGCGTCACATCCAAACGGCCGTGGTGCTTTGTGTGCTCGCCCTCGGCAAGATCTGCCTGCACAAGGAGGCACTTCCCGACGTGGTGCCCAGCGCTGAGCCCATGGGCAGCGGATCGTCATCTGTGGGCCGAAATGGTACGCCACCCTCGCCTCCGGCTCATGGATCGCCCCCGGCCATGACGGTGCATGCGATCCTCTCGCCTACGGCCGACCCTGTAAGGGCAGGGCCGACCAGCCGGCGGTCGTCTTTTGAAGGACAGAGCTCATTTAAAGTGCAAGCGAAGAGGAATATGGATGTTATCCCTGGACTGGACTACCTCGCTCTCGCGACCGACATTATCGGCAATCAGGTCGGCGGAAGCACTTTTTGGCACATCTACGCGAATTTGTTGGCTGGTCTTTATTACGGACAGTTGGGTCGGGTGCTGGAGAGCTATTCGCACATCTTGGCTGCGTCGATGAAAGTGCAGCAGCTTATGAGAGGGTAAGTCATGGCATCGTGATCTGCCCACAAAAGTCGCCCAGCTACCTGCCTGTGTATGTGCTAACCTTGTGCAACCATGTCCGCAGCGAATTCGGCCGCCTGATCGATGGCCACACGAAGGGGGTTCCCCAGAACTCGGCTGCCGACACGCGCTTCTTTTTTCTGTTTTGGTCTTGCATGCAACTGGAGAGCGACATCATCGCCGAGCTGCATCTCCCGCAGTCTGGAATTCTGACATACGAGGAGAATTTCCCACTCCCTCCACTCAGCGGCGCCATGGCAAACGGCATCGACGAGCGTGTGGCCAAGAGCTACCTTGGCCAACTGTACTTGCGAAAGCAGCTAAACAAGGCGCATACCCTCCTTTACGGCGACCGAATCGAACGCTCGCACTACCGCGGCATGCTCGATATGATCCAGCAGCTGTCAGACATGATCGATCCCAACCTCTGGGTTGCGCCCGTCTTCAAGTTCGATCCCGAGAACGACCCGCCGGCCACTGAGATTCTCGATGCGCGGTTGCGGGCCAAGTACTGGGGTGCCACAAACATCATCTGCAGGCCCATTATCAAGTCCATCCTAAACTCCAAGTTCAAGGAGCAGCGCAGTGACAACCCAGAGGAAATAGACTGGACGGATCCCATCAACGAGGTTGTTGATCCCAACGACCCGATAATCCTCAACTATGCCAAGAAGGGTATCCGGGCTCTCATCGAAAGCACCAAGGCCTTCTACGGCCTGAGGGAGCGGCGGTTCATCATCACCAATGTGTTTGGTACTGCTCATGCGTAAGTACAGCTGCAGCGTCCATGTCCCACTTCCTCGGGTGCTCTGCTAACACTGTTTTGTAGGCAATGGGGTAACATAATCACTCTCGCTGCCGTCTACCAGGACCAACACCTCCGTGCCTTCATAAATCCTCTCGAGCTCAGCACTCTCTTCCAGCGAACCATTGAATTCCTTCAAACCGTTGCGCACCGCACGAGCGCCCTGACCATCGGGCTGAACCTCCTGATAGGCCTCAGGGACAAGCTCGAATTGCCGCCGCCCCCCATCATGCAACCGGGCGCGAACACCAGCTTTTCGAGCACGACCAGCAACCACCAGGCCCCGACACCGAGTCCGAGCACCCCGCTCCAGGAGACACCCACGTCGTATGGAGGCATCTTTCCCCACCAGTACAGCGGGCAACCGAACCAGCACCAGGGACAACAACAGCAAGGACAACAGCAACTGCACGGACCACAACAGTCGCACCAATTCGCCTCCCCGAAAAACCTGTCCCAGGACAGCCCCAAGCCGTGAAGGGCTGCGCCGGAGCTCGCGGCGTGCGAACTTGACTGGCCGCCACCCGAGGGAAGCGCCTGCGCGGAGAGTGCAGGCGCCGGTCTTTGGGGTGGGAGGAGCCTTGGTATAGCCAGTCATGTAACCACGCCTCTGCTCGTATCCATCTCCTTTCTCCTCTAGGCGGCATAATCGTGTACTTTAAGCGACAGCGAAAGATACTGGGGGGGAGGCCGGCCATGCTTGGATTCGGCATACCCCTTGCACATTTTACCTTTTCGTCTGTGATTATTGGCTAATTCTTGTTGATAGTTTTGACATGTCAGATCGGACTGCATATCCTGGCTACCTTGGCTTTGATTTTTTTTTTTTTTCAGGTTCTTATTTTTCCCCCTGCATCAATCTTGGTTTTTACAGGTCTATCTCGCAGGCTTTTCTTTTTCTCTTCACATCTCGCACTCGCTCGCGCGTTTCTGTTGCTGTCTCTTTACCTTTTCCCTCATGATTTGAACACTTCAAAGCAAACGGCATGGCATTATTATATCATCGTCATTATCATTTCAGGCGAAGAAAGCCCAGGGCGGGAGGGAAATTAACGGGGGAAATACCAAATGAGCGCAAAGATACTCTTTTGTTTCTCATTCTATCTACTTTATTAGTATTATCTAAGTCGTCCTTTTTTTCGACGTCCCTTCTTCCATGTTCTTGGTCAAATACCATCTCGATGGCGATGTGGGTCCTTGCTTTTTTTTTTATAGGGCAGCGGCCATTTTTGGCGCTATACTTTCCATCGTCTTTTGAGGGTCTCCGCAGCTGTCGTTGCTTTTCTGGTCAATTCCTCGTCTTCATTGGCTAACATTTTTTTTCCCAACTACTCTTTTCCGTCGTTTGTCGTCGGCTAGCATGGGATAGCAAGGGGGGTTCGGGCTTTTCGGGGGCGAAGGGGTGGTTGGTGACGGGGCCGCATGGGATGGGGAAGAAGCAAGTTCCGACCTCGCGGCACACGATGGGAGGCCGAGGATCTGTGTGTACGTGTGTGAGTGGGCGATTTGGGCCCGCGGCCTCTGGGCCTGCAGCGGCCAAATGTACCTTTTTCTTTCCTTTCTTCCTATCCGCCGCTTCTCTAGCGCCGCGTTTGGCGTTCGTAAATAGTTGGATGTCCTCGCTGGGTAAATCTCGACAAGATGTCATTAGCCCGTTTACTTGTCGCAACTGCCCAGTCAGACCCGGCCGGTCTCCATTGTCTCCACAGTTGGCGTTGGGCTTCACCAATGCCATGTAGGCCGACAGGCTTATTAGTCTCATTCACTTCCATTGGTTACAGCTTCACCTCGATGTGTGATCATTGCTTTCATTCGCCATCGGGACGAGACTCGTATTCTCGACAGCTACTGGGAAAGCTGCCACGAGTGAGAAGATGATATACATGCAAGTACCGCTTCGAGAATGGACGAGCCGGACCAACTAGATGCTGGATGCCTACCAGTCACCAGACCCCACCCGCTCAAGAAACGCCCGGTCCGGATGTTGTATGAGATATGACAAGATGAAGACACACGAAAAGAACCAAGTCGCTAGAGAAACAAGAAAATCCCAGACCAAATGCTATATGATATGTGACGAGACGCGCGGCTGGAATTTCAGAGAGGAAGGCGGCAACCGAAGATGGAACGCGGGCACCTAGCCCCTCGGCGCTAGAACTGACACGCACTACCCCCCCGGTTCCACCGCTCTACGCCGCCGTCATGCATCTTCCGATCCATATCGCCACCCGGATTGTTTGCAAGTGCCGAACGCCCCCTGTCTGCCGGCGGGGATCGATCAAATCAAAAAAAGATCATAACAGAACGACGGTCAGGCAGAGCCAGCCGTCCGGGTAGGCGGCCTCGCGCATGAGGGCCTCGAGCGGGGCCGAGAAGGGCACGGGGGCGCCGTGGAGGATGACATTTGCCAGGACCGGGTCGCGGCTGCTCGGGAATAGCGTGGGCAACAAGCTTCTAAGTGCAGTACCTAGAGTTTGTGGAGTTTCTAATAAGAGGAGGGGGGAGGGTAGGGAGAGGTGGGAGAAGAGGGAATGAGAGGAATCAAAGTTAGCAAGTTATCCCTACACGCAAAAGGCTCGATCCATGGGCCTAGTCCAATCTACACCGCCACATAATTTGAATGAAAGTGGAAAGAAGAAATGGAAGAAGAAAAAAAGACGACGAGGTGTGCTCACTGTTTGCTATTCGTGGCGCAACCAGGGCCTGCATGACGCGAAACGAGCCGGCAGCAGCCGGTGTGGTGGTTGCGGGGCTGCTCGGTGAAGAAGAGGGTATGTATATGCGGATGGGGACATGTTTAAGCGGCGTTGGCGCGTTCAGCAGCTGGTTGTTGATTCTGGCAAAGGTGGCGTAGTCCCCTTTTTTTTCATTTTTTTTATTTTTTTTTACGTCTCAGCGAATCAGCATGCCTTGCCGGCAGAGTGCCAGGGATGATGGGATGGGACAAGGGGGTCATCCTCCTTTCTCCCAAGGCAGCTCCGGGGAATCCTTACCGTCCTGGACTGCATTCCACAGGGCCGTAGTATCATCCTTTGACATGGACATGATCTGTTTTGCGTGGCCGTTCCGGAGGAAGTCGGCCTGTTGCGGCGAATGCCGGTTGGTTAGCTGGAAAGATACCCGCCAAGGGGCTACTGGAGTGCAGCATGTCTTGTTTTTTTTCTTTCCAGACACGAACCTCCTTTGCGCCGTTGAGGAACGTGTCCCCGATATGCCACCCCTCACCCTCGTCGGCGACGAGCCGCCACGGCAGGGCCTGGGGCCGGTAGAGGTCGACGAGCAAGCCGACGGGCAGATTGCGCAGCTGGACGTCCTCGTGGTGGAAGCTGGAGCAGGGGCGGCCAAAGTAGGCGGCCAGGCGCGGCAGCAGCAGGGCCAGGTAGCCGAACCTGGGCACCGAGGCCACGAAGGGGGCCGAGGACGGCAGCGAAGCGTGCGTGATGTGAACCGGCACCGTCAGCTTCCAGAGCGCGCTCGGGATGGTCGTGGCTACTGTTGCGGCGGCGGCCGGGCTGTCGGGCCGAGGACTGCTGCTGCTGCTGCTGCTGCTGCCGCCGCCACCGCCACCGCCACCGCCGGCGGGCCGTGGGGCATAGAAGGCCATGGGGTCGTGTTTTCTGCCCTGCGCCTGAACTACGATGAGATGTGTGGTTGCTGCTGCTTCTGGGCTGCAGGTGGCAGAGCCGGCGCTCATGCAAAGATGGCGGTCAGCTCGACTGCCGACTCAAGGCCGCAGGACGATGGAGCAGTGAGGGACAAGGGGGAGGGATGACCCCCTTCGCTCTGGCTGCCACACCGACCGGCCGTTCGTGCTTGCAAAATGCGATTCGCCTGTCGGGGGTGGCGCCTTCAGAGGCCGTCCTCAGCCCACCAACAAAACCCCCCCGCGGCCGCGACGGATCTCGTTTGCCTCTTCCGGGACTTTCTTGCTTTTTCGAGGCGGTGTGGCAGGCAGCGGACTTTTTCTTTTCTTTTTTTCCCCTTTTTCCTTTATCTCACTCTCTTGGGGATCGTCGGGGAGCAGCGAAACGAGGACCGTGGCAAAGCGCGGCTGAGATTACGGGACAACCGGGGTGGGAAGCAAGCAATGTGAGGGGCTGCCCGCCTGAGCTAGCCTAGGAAGATCCGCTTTTTTTTTATCCGTTAACATTGAGAGTCAAACAAAGCGCAGCCCACTGGCGGGCCCATCGTGCATATGCAGAAGCGAGTTGAGGGTCCTGGGGTTCTCTGAAGATGGAAGCTTGGGTTCGTCGGAGCTGGGTTCGAGCTAGCTGCTTTGGGCGGAGGGGTCTAGAGGTACCTATCTAGTCCAGGGAGCTCTGTCCATCCTCCTGTCAGCGCGGGGTAGCACAGGTCCCGCTCAGGGAACGCTCGATAACGATAAAGCTTCATGGAAGGCAGCCCGGTTTCTTTCCCGGACTGCCTGATGCGGTAAGAAAATAACTTGAAAAAGACAGCCCATGCGCCCTTCCTTCTTCCAGCTGTTGCAGATCTTCCTCCTCCCTACACTAGCACCAACCTCCAAAAAAAATCCGCACACGCTATATTTTTCCCCACCCAAACTCTATAGAAAAAAAACATCAAGAGAAAATCAATTCAATTGATTGCAATGCCTCGTTATCATAACACACGCCTCGGATCCTCTCAAAAATTACAAAGGGCGAAGGGAAAAT